CCCCTCTCCCTGCCTCCGGCAGCGGCGGCGAGCCCCCCCCGGCAGCCCACTGCCCGCGACGGCAGCGCCGCGGGGCGCCGGTCCGAGGGAGGAGAGGAGCGCGATGGCTCGGCTTCCCAGCGGCGAGGACGAAGGCGATGGACTGGAAACCACGCCAGACCCCCATCCTTTCCCAAACAATGCCCGCCGCTCCCGAGTCAGAGAGGAAACGCTCCCGAAGGATGCGGCGTGGGAGCTCTGCCCCACGCCTGACCCCATTGTTCTCGAGAACCCTGGAGCAGCTCCGCGGCGCCCGAACCATCAATCCTGCAACACGGCAGGGAGGTTTTGGGATGGACACGTGCCCGGGCTCGGAGTGACCTTGCTTCAGGGAACTGAGCCAGAGAAACGAGTGTGGATTCCAGTCCTTCCCATCCGCAGCAGCTCCGCAGGGCGGAAGGTTCGGTCCGATTTCATTATGGAAAGCAAGAGATAAGGGGAAAACTTGCTCACTGGTAGCGGGCGTTCGCAGAAGCCAGGTGTGACTCTTAACCTGTGCTGCTTTTCACAGTTCCTGTACCTAAAATAAAAGGAAATTGGGAAAAAAAATCCTCTTGAAGGTGCGGACAGCCTGTGTTCCTCTCCTGGATGCCCGCACCCTCGCAGGAGGCAGGAGCTGGGAGCACAGCTCCCACCCGAGCTCGCGTGCCCAGGAGGATGCCAACCACCCTCCTCTGCTCCCAGATCTGCTCCACAATTACAATTCTCCTGTTTCTTTTCGAATCCAACATGTTTTATTACTGCCAGGATTATTTGTATTGTTTAAAAAAACAATCTCAACACTTTTCCGGTTCACAACACGGGAGCAACAACCGGGGCACGGAGCTGTGTTTGGTTCAAGGTAAAGAGAAGTTCATAAAGATTCAGAACGTAGTTACACCTCAGCGGCACCAGGAAAGGGATACTGGGAATCATTTAACAGACAAGAGGTTCGGTCAAAACGGGTTATTTAATGGGACTCAAAATATACAGACAACTGAGCGGAGCAAAGGGCTGCTGGTGCCCATCAGCTTCGCCTTCCAGAGACGCACACGGAAGTCTGGGCCAGGATCGTTGGATGCTCAGTGGGGATCACGCCACGTGTTTCCACAGACCAGCTACAAGCACAGCTTCCCCGCAGGCTGGCAGAGCTGCAGAGACCCAGTGCTTCCGTCGTGACAGCCGTCCCGGGCTCTCCTGCACTCCGCAATTCCAATTACGCAGCCGTGTCCCATTCGGAGCTGTGTTTGGGAAAAGACAATTGAGGGTGCTGCAGTTTGGGGCACGTCCTGGTCCATCAGGGTAGATGCCAACTCCAGCGTTTTCACTGCTCCTCGTGCCCGTTGAGGTTCCTGGCATGGATGGGGGAAGCTACGGCAGCAGCGCAGTGTGGGAACGTCCAGTTCTGCCCCAAAGCCGTACAGTCGGGTCGTGGAAGCTCCGGATGGGCGAGACAGCGGCTTCTCCAAGATTTACCGTCTGCTGCTTGACCTTGGCATAACTTGAGAGCTCTCGGTGCTCCGGCCGCGGAACCCCGAAGCTGTCACTTCCTCGAGGAAGCTGCCGAGCAAAGTTCAGGTTAGCAGAGACAAGGGCCAACTTTTCCCCCTGCAGCCAGACAGTAACCCCCCGGTCGGGCTTCAAACCTTCCAACAAACCCAACGAGTGCTCTACACCCCCCGAGCTACGCAAACATCTCTCTTCCCCCCTGGTGTCAGCAGGATGGAGGGACAGAGTCACTCCTCCGTAAGTGGTGACGGTGCCAAAGAGGTGAGGACATGCCCACAACAGTGTGTGATCCAACAACAAACCCCACCCGGAACAGGGATCCTGGTCCCAGCGGTGATGCTGCTTCTCCTCCCCCTGGTGCTCATGTCAAACCCAGCAGCTCCCTCCCCAGGGAGGCAGCGAGGAAGCGACAGGGACTGAGGGTCCCTGAAGGAGACGCTCAGATCAGGACTTGTCTCCTCCAACGAAAAGCAGCACCCCGAGAGCTGCCGTCGGGGCGAACCGCGTCCCTCCGCAGCCGAGGGGCGGCAGCGGGTGGAGGGATCCCCCTCCGACTGACCCACTCCTCCAGCTGCTGGCAAGGGAAAATGGGGGGGCACCACCTCAGACTGGGACAGCTGCAGTTATAGGAGATGGTGAGCCAAGAGGAAATAAGCAGGTGGCAGCCTTGGAGAATGGCATGCTCCATCCCTGGCAGTGTTCCAGGCCAGGTTGGATGAGGCTTGGAGCAACCTGGTGTAGTGGAGGGTGTCCGTGCCCATGGCAGGGGGTTGGAACTGGCTGATCTTTGAGGTCCCTTCCAACCCAAACCATTTTATGATTCTATCATTCTATAATGCTCCTGTTTTCCAGTGACAGATCCTCCCACCAGCCAGGATGAATTCAGGGAGGGAGAGCACAGCACAGAGCTACTGGAGTGCAACGACCTGCCCTGGGGACCGAAATCTGGAGTACTGAAATCTGGAGCATCCAGCACGGATCACCAGGTCAGCATCTTCCCTTAACGTGGCCGTTCATCCTTAAAGGCTCCACCCCACCCCGGAGGTCCGGTCTCTCCCCGTGCCATGGACAGGAAGGCTCCCGAAACGAGGGCAGCAGCTCCTCGTGGGCTCAGCTCACATCTGGCCCGCGCCGGCAGCACCGCGCGCCTTTCGGCGACACAGCCGGGACGGCCGGCGTTCCGGCTTGGTTCTCCGCTCACTCTCAGCCTTCCTGGGCGGATGATAAGGCAGGAAGAGGCCGGGTGGAAACCTCCTGCTGAGGCACCCGTGACATTTCACAGCCCCTGGAGCAGCCGGGGACACTCCTCAGCCTCATCCCAGCAGCCGGACCCTCCCCTCCTACTTCCAGCCTGTTCAGATCACACTCCAATCCGGATCATGAGCCACGTGGAAACCTCTGGGCATTAACCACCCATTCAGCCAGACCTCAAGAAAGTTTTAACCCAGTAAAGCGTTTCAGCACACACTCAGCTTCATCCCAGTCCCTCTGTGTGATTTTCCAAGGAAACTTAAGGGATTTGGGGGGCCAGACCCCAATTTGAGGGTCAATTTGAGACTTAAGTTCCAGTTTGCACTGTAAAGTCAAGCGAACGGCTCAACGCACGCCCGAGCAACGATTCCGCACGGAAAAAACGAAAGGCAGCACATTCAGGGACACGTTGGAAGAGGCGAGCTGCTTCTCGAGGAATAAATTGTCAGTTGGAGGCAGGGGGTTGGAACTGGCTGATCTTTGAGGTCCCTTCCAACCCAAACCGCTCTGGGACTCTGTAAGAGAGATGATCTCCACCTTGATGAAGGCACAGTCACCAGGCACTCTTCCAAGTTTTATCCCTAAACACGCCGCGGCGTTTCAGTTTCCGCAGCAGCGGGACGGGCGCGCGGCCCACCGAGGGGAGCACCAGACCGGGACCGAAGCTCGGAGCTGCTCCCAGTGTCAGCAGCGCCACCGCTCCCCACCTCCGGATTTCACGGGATTGCCCCTGTCCGGAGCACCCACCGACCAGACCGTCGTCTCCGGGGTGCCGAGGCAGCTCCCGAGCAGCCGCTACGACGCAAACACCAGAGCCTCTGTTGTTTGTCACACCCAGTGTGACACCCCCGTGCCCCCAGTATGAGAAGTCTCTGAGGCCGAAGGCCCGTCACGCCCGCCCGCTCCGGGCCGCCGGTGTCACCCCATCACCGTTTCTTGCTCTCCGCGGTTCGGAGGCAGCCGAACACTCCGCAAAAAAACCCCAGCAACGCTCCCACGTACGATGCAAGGAGGGGACGTTACCAGGAGGATGGTTTCTCTGCGACCAGTTTCTAGGTTGACTCATCCCTTCAATGTGCTGCTCGAGTTATCTGAACATTAATGCTTTGGGAAAAAAAAAAAATTCAAAGGAAAAGATAAAGGAAGAAAACCCAGGATATACCATGAAGCCTACAAAAAACGTGATTTCCCCTAAAACAGGTCTACGATAGGTCTACCTGCCAAGGCTGTGGATCGTGAGGGTTTAAAAAAAATAGGAATTAAAAAATAAAACCTCATGGAAATGCCTGCACCGATTCCCAGAGCTCAAGGCGGCACCGATTAGAAACGTGCCCTCTGGGAGGGCGGCAGCCCGCGGCATGGGAGGCTCCAGGAGCCTCGCCGGCGCTCCGGCCCGCCGGAGCTGTCCCTCCTCCGGTTTTATTTTTAGGCACTAGAGTCAGGCAGGCCGAGTTCTTCGCAGGGAACGACTCGCTTTTATTCAGAGAATCATAGAATGGTCAGGGCTGGAAGGGACCTTCAAAGGTCATCTAGTCCAACCCCCCTGCAAGGAACAGGGACATCTCCAACTAGATCAGGTTGCTCAGGGCCTCGTCCAACCTGGCCTTGAACGTCTCCAGGGATGGAGCATCCACCACCTCTCTGGGCAACCTGTTCCAGTGTTCTACAACTCTCATGGTAAAAAATTTTTTCCTAATATCCAACCTGAATCTACCTCCCTCTATTTTAAAACCATTACCCCTTGTCCTATCACAACTGGCCCCCCTGACCAGCCTCTCCCCATCTTTCCTGTAGGCCCCCTTGAGGTACTGGAAGACCGCTATAAGGTCACCCCGGAGCCTCCTCGTCTCCAGGCTGAACAGCCCCAACTCTCTCAGCCTGTCCTCATAGGAAAGGTGCTCCTTATTTTTGAAGGAGACTCCTGTTTATTTGCTATCCGGAGAGAAAGGTGCTGTGGTTATGCCCCAGGGAGGTGCTGGAAGTGGGCAGCGTGGCCACCTCCGCGCATCTCCTGCAGCCAAACCCTGACCCGTGGCACAGGGGAGAGCTGGACCCCCAAACCGCCCCGCGCTGCTGCTGCTTCCCAGGACCCCGAGGATCCTGCGAGAAGCGGAGCGAGCACCATCCAGCTCCGGCTGGAAAACCCTCTGCTCCGAGAGCAAAGGGAGAATCCGAACCCGCCTCTCCGCTCTGCTCCAAACCCTCCCTCCGTAGTCAGGAGGAACCACGGCTGGGCC